GGTGATTTTGGGGGCGTTTTTGTGGCGATTTTTGGGGTGTTTTCAGGGTGTTCGGGGGGATTTTTTGGGGGGTGATTTCGGAGTGGTTTTGGGCTGATTTCTGGGGCGTTTCTGGGCTGATTTTGGCGGGTTTTGCTGAAGGAAAGGACTCGCTTTCAGCAACCACCTGGAGGTGGAAAAAAAAATAGTTCTTTATCCAGCAATTAGTGCAGGAAGTGAGAGCACGGGAGGGGTCCTGGAACCCCCTCCCTGGAGGGCAGAGACAAGGGATGTTCCTTTGCTCTGGAAACGTCCTGAGAAACAGCAAAATGGGGGCTCCGGAGTTTCTGTCTGCAGGGGAATTTTTAAAGGCAAGAAAAACCTTCGTTGTAGAGCAAATAAAAAAGTTTGAAACTGCTACTTGCCTGCCTTGGGGAGACATAAATATTTTATATACACACACACATATATATATAAAAATAAATATATAATATATTATTATAATATATATTATATATTTTATATAAGTGTGATATTATGTAATATAGATAATATAAATAATATAGAATATATGTTATATATAATATAATATATAACATATTATATTTTATAATATAATATATTTTATAATATAATATATTATGTAATATATCACATTACATGTAATAATAGATAATTATACATATAATATATGATGTAATAATATGTAATATAATATATAATATATATTATATATTGTAATACTGTAATATATTATAGAATATATTACATACATTACATTATATAAAACATTACATATATTATACATTACATATATTATATATTACATATACTATATATAATATATAATGTGATAATATGTAATACAATATAAATTATTATATATGTAATATAATATGTAATATAATATATAATATATATTATAATTCTGTAATATATTATAGAATATATTACATACATTGCATTATATAATAAATTACATCATTATATATACTTTATATATAATATATAATATATAGTGTGATAATATGTAATACAATATAAATTATTATATATGTTATATAATATGTATTATAATATATAATATAATGTAATATATATAATATATTACAATATATATAATATATTATGGAATATATTACATACATTACATTATATAATATATTACAGATATTATATATATTTTATATGTTATATATAATATATAATGTGATAATATGTAGTACAATATAAATTATTATGTATATAATATAATATATATTATATGATATAATGTAATATATATAATATATTGCAATATATAATATATTATGATACATAAATATTATATACAAATATATAAATAATAAACATATATAATATATAATATATGAATTATATCCATACATAATATAAATATATAAAATATAAATAATATAAATATTTAAGTTAAATGGTGTAACCCTCCCCTGGTTGCTTTATTTTACACAGAGGTTCAGGGTTTTTTATGGAGATCCATCTCTAGGAAGCAGAAATTTTGGGTGGAAATAAATAACATTCCAAGATGAGTTTTTACCACCCTCCACCACACAGACATTCAGGCAGCAATTTGTATTTCTGATACCAACTTCTGTTGTATTTCTAATTTTTATTTTCAATTTGTATTTCTAATTTGTATTTGTAATTTCTGTTTCTACTTTGTATTTCTGATCTCCAGGTCAGTAACAATAACAGGCACTGAAAAGCCTTAAAAACCTTCTACAGAGCACAATTTAAATATGAAATACAGAGAATTTGTGTATCTGCTGGTTATTTTTTTTCTGACATATTGGGGGGGGAAAGTAAGACACTTTGAGGGGGAAAAAAGAAAGGTCTGAGCCCAATCCCCAGGGGTTTTATAGGGCTGTGGCTCTTTCATAATTCATAATTTCCCTTTTCCCCTGGGAGAAACCCCCTCAGGACCTGAGTTTATCCAGCTAAAGGGGTTTGGGTCCATTGGTAGGAATTTATATCCACACTGTCGATTGTTTCCTAAACCACTCCAAACCAGGAATATCTGAGGGAAAACAAGAGGATCACGTGGTTCATCAGGACAAACCACTCCAGACCCTCCGGATTTGGGATCCCCCCGCGAGGGGAGGGAAAAGGGAACCGGGGACTCTGCAGAGGTGTCCCTTGTGCAGGGATACATGACAGCACTCCGCTAAATTCCCAGGGTTCCCAAGGGGGAAGATCGGTAGGAATTTGCTTGGAAAACATGAGAAAAACGTCAGAGGGAAAATCCCGAGTTTTCCAGCCAGTCCTGGGCTCGGGACACCAGAATGGGACAAAAATAATATCCCTTATACTGTGTTTGTACCACTGAAAGGTTTAACAGACCCTTTGTCACCTCTCAGCTCCAGCTGGGGGTTGTTATTTTATTCGTGTTTATTTTAACCTTTAACGATTCCCAGGAAATTCAGGGAAGCGGGAGGTGCCACATTTTGGAAAGGGAATTAAATGATGATCCACTTGTGGGATCCCTGGAGAGTGTTTCCATTGTTGTGCCTGGATTTTGTGCTCGGAGAGGCTTCATTTGTCTTGGAAGAACTTTTTGCTCTTTAACGAGCACAAACACAGCCCATAATCCCGTTTTCCTCCTTCAGGATTCTATGGATACTCTGGAACAGGGCATCCAAAGTGTGCCTGTCCACAGCAGGGGGAGAAGTGGGTGTGGGCAGGGGTGAGAGGGATGGTTTTGCCCTTTAAAAATTAAAAAAAAAAAAAAAAAAAAAGGAGAAAAAGCAGCATTTAAATTAAGGCACGGGAAGAACACGGTGAAATAAAGAGAAGCCCTTTCCAAGCGGCTCCGGGTTATTTTGAACAAAAGCACGTTCAGAAAGGTTTTTAGAGGCTTTAATGCCGCTCCCAGGAACAACACCTCGGACAAACCCCGCGAAGGAAACATTCCCAGGGCAGCTCCACAGCACAAAAAAAAAGCACAAAATCTCATCCTAACAAAACTCGTGGGTTTGATTTATTGATAACAGCACAGCCCACTGGGCTAACACAGAACGCTCTGACAAATGCCACCCTCATGCAGCACGGCCTTACCCGGGTGTAGCTTTTATTATTTAAGTATTAATTTAAGTTACCAAACTCAGAGAAAATTTACAGCTTCGTGTGCTGTTCACTAGGAAAACTGTGAGCCGCAGTGTCCCCACTTCTCCTCACCTTACCGCAACAAACAGTCAAGCAAAGCGCTTTCCCTCCCCCCTGCAGGGCCTGGCAGGAACAATTCCCCCGGATAATTCCCCCAAAATCCGCGTGAAAATCCGGTTGTTTGGTGTGGTGGTTCCCTGTCTCCTCCAGGGCTGGAAGGGCTTAAAGAGCAACCTGGAATCCCAGTGCTGGAGGAATTATCCTTCGAAAACAACCAGGAGGAAGAGACAACCAACCCGAAACACCGCCCAGCGCAGGCGTGGGGTCGCTCCTGGAAAAACGGGATGGAAGGGAACGGCGGAGGGAAGCGGAGCGGTGGGAAGGGAACGGACTGTCACTTGTGGAACCGACCCCCTGGGAGTTGGGTCATGGATCCCAAGGACAGCAGGGAATGTTGTCTCCATTGGCCAAGTCAGGTTGGTTGGAGGCATTCCCAGTGATCCCATCAGAGTCACCACCACGGTGGCGTTGGAAGCACATCGGCAGCGGTAAGGGAAGAAATGAAGATGGGAACCTTTCCCAGCCAGGAGGAATTAGGGAGAGACGGGAACCTTTTCCAGCCAGGGGGAATTCGGGAGAGATGGGAACTCTTCCCAGCCAGGGAAAATTCGGCAGAGATGGGATCCTTTCTCAGCCAGGAGGAATTCCAGAGATGGGAACCTTTCCCAGCCAGGAGGAATTTGGGAGAGGCGGGAACCTTTCCCAGCCAGGAGGAATTTGGGAGAGACGGGAACCTTTCCCAGCCAGGGGGAATTTGGGAGAGATGGGAACCTTTCCCAGCCAGGGGGAATTCCAGAGATGGAAACCTTTACCAGCCAGGGGGAACAGCAACACCAAACCAACAGGCGTGACCCCAGCTGAGGGACAGCCCTCAGGCTGCGGCAAAGACCACGTGAGTGAGCTTATTACGGGCTCCTAAACCCCAAAAACCGGGAAAACTGGGACAAACAAAAGGCCGCAACAACCCCTCGAAGCCGGGGCCGCTCCGTGGCCTGAGAAGTGCTCCGAGACGTCACAGCAAAGGGGTGGCCTCCAGAAAGGTGGCACCTTGGCAGCGTCTGGGTAGACAAGAAGAGGTTTGGTCTCTTGGGGAAGAGCACTTGAGACCACCCTGGTCCAAACCAACCTCCTCCCCCATGCCCACAGCCCCATGAGGCCTGGTGAGGCCTGGTGAGGCCTGGCGAGGCCTGGCGAGGCCTAGCGAGGCCTGGTGAGGCCTGGCCGCGGCGGGCCCGCGTCACTGGCAGTGCAGCAGCTCCTCCCAGCGAATGGGCTGGGAAAACACCTCCCGCTCCAGCCAGAGCTCGTAGGAGTAGTGGAAGTCCCGGGGCAGGTCGAGGCGCTGGCCCAGCACGCTCTGCAGGCAGTTGTCCACCGGGGCGAACTCGGGGGGCCGCGCCCGCTCGTAGCGGCGGCTGTTGAAGGCCTCGATGTTGGCCCGCAGGGTGCACTCCTCGGCCTGGAAGTCCCACGGCCTGGCGTCGATGTCTGCAGGGGAGGGGAGACAAAAAACAACAGAGTGTGAGAGGGGGGGAAAAATAACAACTTCATAAAGGTTAGGGCAAGAGAAAGGGTGAAGATTTCGCAGCAAACACGTGCTTGAGTTGACCAGTCACTTATTCCTTCTTTTAACACTTCTTTTTCTTATCTTCTTCTCCTCCTTCTTTATTTTCCTTCTCTTTCTTCTCCTCCTCCTTCTTTATTTTGCTTCTTTTTCTTCTCCTCCTCCTTTATTTTGCTTCTTTTTCTTCTCCTCCTCCTTTATTTTGCTTCTTTTTCTTCTCCTCCTCCTTTATTTTGCTTCTTTTTCTTCTCCTTTTTTCCCCCCTTCTTTT